AATGAGAATGGACAGCAGCAAAACTGGCGGTATGCGGTCTACGAACGCAAGGAAAAAGGTTTGCCAAAACATAAGGAAATATGGAAGCTAATGAACATAGAGAACATGAGCTGGGAAAATCATCGCCCTATACTACCTTCTTTCAAATACAACTTTTCAGATCTAATTTTACCAACTATTCGCACTGTCCAGCTGCCGTGGTCATGACTTCTCGTTTATCATGATGAATTTATTTTGACATGATGAATTTATTTTGACATGATGATGCCCATTATGGGTGACGGGTTTTGTACACCGCTGAAAATTTACTATACGTGACACGTCTGTCGCTGAATTTTCAAAAGTCAATTTTGGAAAAGAGCACTCTTTCACATAAAGGACATTATATTTATTGAATTATAGGGAGTTGATCTTAGCACATGTTCCATTGGATAAAGTAAATCCCCGTTATAGGTGCTGTGCCAAAGGCTACCTTCTACACGTGGACTCGAAAATCCGAGGATCGATGATGTCAGATGTCCTCGAGTGTTGAATAAACGTTTTCGTGAGCAGTGAATTCGCCCAAAAATCATTTGCTATAATTTAGGTATTTTTTGGCACCCTACATACTTTTAAGTATTGAAAATAGGTAGTTTCTATATGCTTTTAGTCTGTTTGGTCTCACTAAAAAATCGAAAAGTAGATCCCTTCTTCACCCCATGCATAAATGGCCGACTCGATCAGTATTCATTTGTGATAATGTAGATAAGCCCAACTAACCTCTTCAGTGTGTCTAAGGAAAAATAAAACCTTAACTCAAAGATGAGGCTATTTGCATGGGTTAATTTACACGAGTACAAAAGAATACTAATTGGACCTGTCAGTTATGTATAATGTCTATGCCAATGATGATCTTAACGATGGCTTGTACAACATCAAGGAACTGTGCTGCCAAATTTTTTCACGCATGCTCTGGATACAGTTTGAGCCATATATGATTGGTTCACTGTCCTGGGTCACTTTTTGTCAACAGGCAGGGCATTGAAGAATCACGTGTTCTCCTCAAGAATTGTTCGATCAGAAATAGAGTGTTCTTTGACATGCTTGCGCTACGAGAGGTGTGAATCGTTTAACTATCGAGACAATATTGTTGAAGGACCACACATTTGCGAATTGAATGACCAGACGAGATTGAAGAGGTCGCATGATGTACAACCAAGAAATGGTTTCTCATATTACGACTCTGAATTGGTAAGTTTTCCTGTCCGTTTTAAATTAATAAAATGCGACTCCAAAAATTTCGTTAAAAGAGTACGCAAGTTTGGAAGGACCAACAGAACCAACATCTCTATGGCTATTTTCACATAAAATGTAATATTTCGAACTCTCTTATATCCTTTCCTACCATAGCCAAAAATACGTATTTCCCAAAGCAGCTCCATCTCTTAATATGAAAAATTCTAAAATATCAGTTTTTATTTTCATAGAAACCCTGCTTAAACGTGAAATGCCAAAATGGTGGAACATGCCATCCAGTGTTGAACAGCATAATAGCTCCTTATTGTTGCCAGTGTCACGAACGTTACGCTGGTGATCTTTGCCAACATCTAAAGGGTAAGAATTACAAACAACTTTTAATATTGTGTATGGCAGTACAAAATTGTTGTTTGAGACGGCATCCCCCATACGCATATTACACCAAATCTTAACTCCCACGTGCTATTTTTAGAATCAGGGTAACAGGTCCAGGCTTTCCTTAGCATTTCTCGAATTTCTTGGATGGAGACCAATGAGGTGCAATTTGACTTTAAAGGTCAAAAAAATTTCGCGACACAGGATTGGCTATCCGTGGATCTTTGAGGAACCTTAGAGAACGGGAATGTTCTCAAAATTACTCACGTGATGTCGTCACGAAAATTATACAAAGAAAAACGTAGTTCCTTGAGAAGAAACTAGGCCAGATTTCCATTCTTTGTTGGGCTGGATTGCATTAAGATAGGGGTCGTTAAATACAAAAAGGCTCAAGGATATTCCATTTAGGATTGCGTAAGTTTTAAGGCTTTCTGTTTCCTTTTCTCCTCTAGTAAAATCCCGCGAATTGAAATAATTTGTTGTTATGTTTTAACTGCCCTTACGTCTCCCGCGCAGGTTTCCGTTTCACCAATGGCAGTTCAGGAGATCATGTGTTAGTTTCAGTCGGCGTAAGCATTCAGATGACGTCATTGACAGTTTGCCTCCGATTTAAAGCCACTCCAAGGCAATATGAAGTTAGCACTCCTATGTCATACGTAACCAGTGATTTTACCAGCGCTTTACAGCTTTACACAAATGGGACCATAAGAATTTACATCAACGATCAATTCAGGTACGCTATTTGCGCTTAATAAAAGTTTGAAAAACTGTTACTGAGACATAAAAGGCAAAAAAAGGTATGCGTTTGGGTATATGTCGTCATGAAAATTATACAAAGAAAAACGTAGTTTGTGTTCCTTGTTTGCATATCGGTTGGATAGGAAGAATATCACCTCCAAATGTAAATTTTGAAGGAGGGTCTATCTTACATAGTTCCATTTTATCAGGCATAGTAAAATCATCCCAGTCAGTCAAAAAAATTTTATCCATCTTTGTATCTTAGTGATTTTCCGTATGTCCCTGTTTTGGATAACACCTGGCATCACGTGTGTTTCACGTGGGAAACAGCTGGAGGAAACGTCTCACTCTATATGGACGGCTTTCTGATTGGAAAAAAGCAAAGTGTGAACCCGGGAATGGTTTTCAACAGTTCAGGATGTATAGTGATTGGGCAGTTGCAGAGACTGGTTGGCGGCGAATTTCACAAGAATGAATCTTTCTTCGGAGATATTACGGATGTGAATATGTGGAAAGCTGAGTTGTCAATCAGCACTATAACGAGGCTTTCACAGAGCTGCTATAGTCACATGGGTAGCTTGATAAGCTGGTACGCATTTCGAACTGGGACGGAGCAGTTCGTTAACGAGACAAACAGTAACTCTTCAGAATGTCTGGGGCTTGGTGAGTACACGTGTCAAGTAATCTACTTAATCTACTGTCATTTTCCGATTAGCAATAAGAGAGAAAAATTATAGGAAAGAAATCAAGTTAGTTACCAACTCAGTCAGCCACTAATGCATCAGTCTACCAGTCAATCAGGTAATCATTTAATTTGTCTTTTAACTCAATAACTCAATGGTTCTTTCAGTCAGTCAGTCAGTCAGCCAGTTAGCCAGTCGGTCAGTCAGTCTGTGAGTGAGCAATTTGGTAAGTCAGCGAGTTAGTTAGTGAGTGAGTGAAAGAGTCAGTGAGTCGGTCGGTCGGTCAGTCGTTCGGTCAGTCAGTCAGTCAAATAGTCCGTTAATCATCCACTTGGCCAATCATTCATTTCATATTTGTTGTTTTGTTTTGTTGTTTACTGTCAGATCCCCATTTCGGCTACGATTTGGAATTTCCAAGAAGAACCAACGAAGACTATGTTTACGGCCCGACGCTCTCAGCTTTGTCAGCTTTTACTGTGAGTTTGTTTGTGAGCTTCACAGACAACGGCGACAAAACATACTTCAACTACTACGCTAGTGGAGCTTACAATGAAATATTTATTCATGAAAGGAATGAGGAGTTTACAGTTCGAATAAAAGACGTAAAAAGGTAATGTAACCCAAAATGGCCTGAGGATGTGTGAGTTCATATTAATGATTTACAACTTAATACTCTTTTGATTTCAGGCAACATAGTTTTGTCATTCCACCGGACGGTACCTGGCACCACCTCGCCATTACATGGGAAAATACGAATGGTTTTTATGAAATATTCCTGGATGGTGTGGCTTGTAGAAGTGGTAAGGAATTGGAAAAGGGAAAAACGATTCATCCTAATGGAAGTGTTGTCATTGGAAACGATAAAGACTTAAATGGTTTTCAGGCCAGAGATGCTTATGTGGGAAACATTTCACGAGTGAATCTGTGGGATTATGTGCTGCCTCGAGAAACTATTTTATTGCTCTCCCAACGCTGTGGAATGGAAAGTGGTAATGAAGTATCCTGGAGGGATTTCAAGGAGGGACCTTATCATGGTGTGGTCAACATCAAGGAACCTTCATCCTGTCAAAAGCTTCAATAAGAAAAGAGAGACTTATAAAAATTGAAATGAGGACATAAAATTATTCTATGGGCCATTGGTCAATCTGATGTTTGATGTTTTTTGTAAAAAGTCCGGGCTTTTCATACAGGATCCGCAACGGAGAAACTAAGCTTAGAATAGCTGCTTTTATTCTATCGAAGAGCTACAAAGTCCAAATTTGGGATAGGAGGAGGGAGATAAGATAGCTAGCCAATCTCCTCACTCCCACTCCACAATCCACTTATTGAAACGATTGCGATACACTTACAATGGAACGCTTTTTCATTGAGTGTCGTAAAACCAAAATTAATTTAATGACAACGCTCAACCAAAGACCACCAAAGCAAAGAAAATTTCGAGACAAGCCTGTGAGAACACTATGAAAAAACAAGCTAAGGTAACATGATTTATTTAGACCAATCACAGAGCGAGACAGAAAACCTAATTCAAATTCGAATCACTTTCGATACTCGATTTGAAAGTGCTCTAATATTTTCCCTTAAAGGAATAGATGATCGCAATATAAAGTGGTATATTTTGTCATCATGTACGGCTCATAAATTTATGACAACGATTCACTTTTATCCATGGCATTTTAAGGTGTTACTGAGTTTGTACATGGTGTTGCAGGTTTCAGTTTGGTACTTTGTGTGTGGTGGGCATACCCTACCCAAATAAAACTGAAATAAGGAAGTGTTTAAAGGCACCATACCCCCCCTTCTCTGACTCTCTACAAAGATGAAAATCCTTATCGCCAAGAATTAAACTTTGATTTAGTCTATTACAAAACAGCAATTGTGGAGTCCACCCTCTATTGCTGAATGATAACTCAAACACTTTATCACTGGCATCATTACGATGCTGACGACTGCGCAGATTCCTAGAACTGTGATATTGTTCGCAACTTTATGACAAATAGAGGTCTTTTCGGACTGTGATTGATATAGCAGTGATTAAACTCTCACACTTTAAAATCAAATATCCCCTTTAATCAATATTCTCTGGAAATTTTTTTCCCGGGACATTTTTCAATGGTAATTATAATGCAACTGACAGACACTTCTTCATCAGATTTTAAGTGCTGCACCCATTGCCTTGATGGCAGCGAACGTCTCCAGACCAGTTGGTATTATCTGATTGGCTGGCAATAAAAAGCCATATTGTCCCTTATCTCTCAGTTCCAGGGCAAATGAGTACCTCACGCCAAGGACCCCATATGCCCAGTCCTTTGTAGATCCTGAATTTGCGTCTGAAAAAGGACATAATGAAATTTATATTAATAAATTCAACTCAATGATCTAACTTTACGAATTGTTTAACAGTCAATACATAACAGATAGCTAGTCAATCAAATTCTAAGCCAACTAAACAGTTAGCCTGTACATCAATCAATCAATCAATCAAACCGTCGATTAAACAACCAATCAATCAATCAAACGAACGAGAAACCAATCAGAAAATGACATGAAAAAAATAAGTAGGTAACCGTTTAAATTTTCCCACAAATTTCCATTTGAAAAAGATTCTGATCATAATCCCCCACCATGTCACAATAAGCAATATGTCATATCTAAGTTATAATATTTTGTCATTTCTGATCGATCTCTTTGAGACAAAGCTCGGTTGTTGATAGTCAGAGAGTAAATATGTTCTTGATCGTTATTAGTTTCGCAGTATTTGTGGCCTCATTTATTTATTTTCTATCACTATTAATGCTGTTTGCAAGACCGGAATTGCAAGACTTTTAATGATTTAAGGAATTCTATGAGCCTCCAAAGTTTTCTCTGTTTTATCCTCTATTTGATGCTCGACTTAGGGTTTCGTTTGGAGGCGGGCAAGTTCGAATGATCATAAAAGAAACGACTGTTTTGCACCAATGTTTTGTTTCACAACCAAATGGGCTACTAGTGTCTAAGATTCTAAGCTTTAATGTGACAATCAACTCACACATGACTTTTAGAAAACCTCTATAGCAATAGAATGCAACATGATTTTCTTATCATAGTTTTTCAACTCACAAATAATAATAGACGAGGGACCAACTCTATATTGCGTCCGGTATCCAGCATTATAAAGTGCGTTGACTGCAATGTCAGAGACACGTTTCTGAGTGGAAAAAAAAGCAAGCAAATTATAAAAAAACCATAACAACAGAATGCTTATAGTCATGATTGCTAATAAGATTTATGCAACAGCTGCTCTAGTCTGTAACTATGAACT